ATTCAGCACCTGTCCCCGGGATAACCACCGAATATTAGAATGGAGCAGAAGTACCTCAAATTCAGAGCCCATTTCTTTACACAGCTCACTGAAGATGCGGTGCCTCAGAGCACTTTTTCGCACATAGTTCACACATTCCACCACAGTTTTTAATACTTCTGCCATTTTTGGAGGTAAGGTTTTTGTTGCCAACGCATGCCTGTGCAGAATACAATGCGTCACAATGATGTGTGGTGCATCGGCCTTTACTAGCGCACCAAAACCAGACTTTCTTCCCAGCATGACTGGAGCTCCGTCCGTACAAACTGCAGAAACCATATCCCATGAAAGATTGTTGTCTCTGAAGAAGTCATCCACAAGCTTCTTCACATCGGCTGCCTTCGTTGTTGTTGTAAGAGGCTTACAAAATAAAAACTCTTCTTTTATCATGTCGTCTTTCACATAGCGTACAAAAACAGCAAGCTGGCTTAGATCAGAAACGTCTGTGGTTTCGTCGAGTTGAAGGCTGAATGTTGCCGGGCTTGAAATCAGATCCGCGACTACTTGAGCCAAGATGTCTTTACTCATGTCTTCTATTCTGTCACTGACGGTGTCATTTGAAAGGGGAATTTGGGATAATTTACCTTCGGCCGCTGTTCCGAGTATCAGATTCGCCATCTTTAATGCAGCTGGTTTCACAAGTGTTTCACCAATGGTGTGTGGCTTGCCCTGCTTTGCGATCAGGTAAGCAACTTCGTACGATGCTGTCAGGATCGGTTTGTTAACAGGTACAAATCCAAGAGCAGGCAGAGTGGCCCTTTCATCGAATCTGGCTCTCTTCACCCTGAATTCAGCAAGTGTTGTGTTCTTGTATTCCCCGTCTCCATGCAGCTTCAAGAAGTGTTCCTTTAGTTTTGCCGGTGCAAGACTAGAGTTGCTCAACTTGGCGTTGCAAATCATGCAGATAGGACGCTCACTCCCATCACGTTCCGTGATACATGAGAATCCATGTTGTACATATTCGTCCGACCACTTTCTTCTTTTGCCCGACATAGTTAGTATGGATAAAATATTAAAGAAATCACACGACGTACGACAACAACAGTCACACGTTGACTACTGAGTACGCACTAAATTCCCCGCAGCGCTGATTGGCCAAGCAGTGTAGCATGATCATCTGCAGCCAGTGATGGCCAAGCGGGCCGTGTGTGTCATCACAAATTTACACAATAATTCAAGTGTGTCCGGACCTCCGTGGCGGGGGCTCTGCCGAACCCCTGAGATCGACTCACCGAACCCCTGGGGTTCGATCGAACCCAGGTTAAGAACCACTGCTCTAGAGGGAGCTGTCCAGAGAGTCAGAGCTTGCATTAATCATAACATACAGTGAGGGAAAAAAGTATTTGATCCCCTGCTGATTGTGTACGTTTGCCCACTGACAAATAAATTATCAGTCTATAATTTTAATGGTAGATTTATTTGAACAGTGAGAGACAGAATAACAACAACAAAATCCAGAAAAACGCATGTCAAAAATGTTATAAATTTATGTGCATTTTAATGAGGGAAATAAGTATTTGACCCCCTCTCAATCAGAACGATTTCTGGCTCCCAGGTGTCTTTTATACAGGTAACGAGCTGAGATTAGGAGCACACTCTTAAAGGGAGTGCTCCTTATCTCAGCTTGTTACCTGTATAAAAGACACCTGTCCACAGAAGCAATCAATCAGATTCCAAACTCTCCACCATGGCCAAGACCAAAGAGCTCTCCAAGGATGTCAGGGACAAGATTATAGACCTACACAAGGCTGGAATGAGCTACAAGACCATTGCCAAGCAGCTTGGTGAGAAGGTGACAACAGTTGGTGCGATTATTCGCAAATGGAAGAAACACAAAAGAACTGTCAATCTCCCTCGGCCTGGGGCTCCATACAAGATCTCACCTCGTGGAGTTGCAATGATCATGAGAACGGTGAGGAATCAGCCCAGAACTACACGGGAGGATCTTGTCAATGATCTCAAGGCAGCTGAGACCATAGTCACCAAGAAAACAATTGGTAACACACTACGCCGTGAAGGACTGAAATCCTGCAGCGCCCGCAAGGTCCCCCTGCTCAAGAAAGCACATATACATGCCCGTCTGAAGTTTGCCAATGAACATCTGAATGATTCAGAGGACAACTGGGTGAAAGTGTTGTGGTCAGATGAGACCAAAATGGAGCTCTTTGGCATCAACTCAACTCGCCGTGTTTGGAGGAGGAGGAATGCTGTCTATGACCCCAAGAACACCATCCCCATCGTCAAACATGGAGGTGGAAACATTATGCTTTGGGGTGTTTTTTTGCTAAGGGGACAGGACAACTTCACCGCCCTCAGCCAGGGCATTGAAAATGGGTCGTGGATGGGTATTCCAGCATGACAATGATCCAAAACACACGGGCAAGGCAACAAAGGAGTGGCTCAAGAAGAAGCATATTAAGGTCCTGGAGTGGCCTAGCCAGTCTCCAGACCTTAATCCCATAGAAAATATGTGGAGGGAGCTGAAGGTTCGAGTTGCCAAACGTCAGCCTCGAAACCTTAATGACTTGGAGAAGATCTGCAAAGAGGAGTGGGACAAAATCCAAATCCCTCCTGAGATGTGTGCAAACCTGGTGGCCAACTACAAGAAACGTCTGACCTCTGTGATTGACAACAAGGGTTTTGCCACCAAGTACTGTCATGTTTTGCAGAGGGGTCAAATACTTATTTCCCTCATTAAAATGCAAATCAATTTATAACATTTTTGACATGCGTTTTTCTGGATTTTTGTTGTTGTTATTCTCTCTCACTCTTCAAATAAATTTATCATTAAAATTATAGACTGATCATTTCTTTGTCAGTGGGCAAACGTACAAAATCAGCAGGGGATCAAATACTTTTTTCCCTCACTGTAACATCAGTATGAACGTATAGTGCAAGATAAAGCATACAAATGTAATATATAAATTACATCTCCTTTTCAATCCACTGCTGGACGGTCTCCCCACAGCTTGTCGTTCATGGGGGCTGTTTGGCCATACTTCACCACGATGCCCAAGTGTGGGTTAGTGAAGGAGAGCCCCAAGGTGTCACTGGCCAACTGATGTTATCCGTGACCGGGAACTGAACCTCAGGTCGCCGCGTTCATAGCACAGTGCAGTGAAATATGAATAAGTCACGAAATAGGGATTAGTTTATATAAATACGTAAATTAACCTTATGTGTGCAATATGTAACGCATTAGGTAATTAACGAACATGTCAAAAAACATTTGGAGGAATGGCATACGCACTGTTTGAGTGTGCAGTGCGTGTGTAATACGTAGTGTTTGACGTCAGACAAGCGGGCACTTCCCACGTGATGCTACATTTAGCCACGCTTGACTGGCAAAATACAGTGGTTGATGTTTATCATTGAGCAAGAGCCACAAAATCGATCATAGTGATGAATATAATTCTCACAATCAAAAACGTAAGATTGCTCGTTCTATCAATTCATAATATATATGCGAATAGATACCGTACTGCTTCCTAGAAACGAGCGAATTACCCAATTTAGAAAAATGTTGATTTCCCAATGCCGTGTTTCCGCGTGTGTCCCTTGTGCATGGGTGCCCCTGGGCTTCTGTCCAGAGCTATCCCAGCCCAACACTCAGTTAGGCTTCCTACCCCCCAGCTCACTGATAAATATACAGTGTACTCGGAGAGCAAAACATCTCCGCTTGCTCCAGCATCATTATCACAACTGCAGACACAATGCAGACATTATTAGAGCTTCCGTCACTCCAATGTAATTGCTACTTATGGTGATGATTATCACGGTTGGCTATGTACGGTGCGAAAGAAGCTAATGCATATATACATACAATGAGGGCTGGGGAGCTGGGGGAATTTATGGTGCTTGCGTAGGCATTTGATGTCAAGGCATCGATGGTGCAGTCGGCGGTGGGGGCATTAATGATGCGTGTGATGGGAATGTTGCTGGTGAATCTGCCAGTCATCTCAGTCAGTCGAACCATGGCACCTGGGTCTCCCCTGTGATCTCATCAGCGAGCTTTCGACGCTTCACGTGGCCTCAAAGTGCACCTGGCCTGGCAGAGGCACCGTGGTGGCAATAGTGGTCTAGTAGTGGGGCAGTTATGGTGTTGGCTGTGGATTAATAATGCCGGTCAGTGGTGGTGGCGGCGGCGAAGTTTTGATAGTGCCCATGAGACGTTGATGGTTCCGATTCGGTATTACCGTATTCTGATGAAACACTCCGAAAAGTAAGCCGTACTTAAAACGCGTGTCCTGGGTCAACGCAGAACTGTGGTTATACAAATATGGTCACACACGCACACAAACCTACCGTGTATCAGAGGCACTCCCAAATGATGCTTTCAAATACGGGGGTTGGGAGGGGGACAGTGTGGCATATAATGCGGAGAATACGGTAATACCTTAGTGCTAGTTAAAACTAAGTTAGTTTTTATTTTACTAGGTAAGGCCCACTGAGCTATATATATCTCTCTTTTTCACAAACAACTTGGCCAAAAATAATTGCTAAGTGGCTTATTCCGTGGAGATTTATAGCAGCCAAATACTCTAAACGCGTGACTTTTTTTTTCTAAATGTGGCGGGGAAAACCGGAGGATCCGGAGAAAAATCCACGCGGCCACGGGGAGAGAGAGAGAAACGCAAACTCCAAATACACAGCAGCAGCAGGCGTCAGGGTCGGGATGGGACCCACGACCTCCTGCGAACCGGGCGAGGTTGTTAACATCTCCCAGCCACCGCGGTGCCCCTGCAATTGATGGCGCGGCATTGGCGGCGCCTTGGCCGGGTTGCTTACAGGACCGCTGCGGTCGTGGTTAGGTGGTGGTGGCGGCGGTGGCTGGCACCGGGGCATTGACGGCGAGAAGGTGGGGGTTGATGTCAGAGGAAGAAGGGGGAGCCGGGAGGAGGAGGAGTCGGGATAATTGACGTGGTGGCAGGGGGAGGTGGAGTCGCAGCTGCGTGGGAGAATCTCCCTGGAAGGTTTTTTTTATTATTATTTTCATTCGGGCTCGCGTCGCTTTTGTTGTCGGTGGAACATCCATTCCGTCTCCTCCTCCTTCCCTCCATGCTGCCCATCAACGAAGACCTCACGTAAGTCTTTAGTGAGCAGTTTGATCGCCGTCGTTGTCCGACCGACTTCCCCCGGGCCCCTCCGAGAGAGAGGAGACAGACGATGACGACGCTCTGCCGATGAACGCGCGTGAAAGGAGAGGCTCTCTCCTCGGCGCTCTGAAGAGTCAGTCCGTGTCGGTCAGTGTGGGGTCTCCTTGCTCCGTGTGTACGCCTAGTACATGTCCACACGCACGGGGCATGTTTTCCTGCAGGGACACACGAGTGTATGTCGCCGGAAATATACGAACACATGTAATGAATGCAGTGCTACACGTACGTCACGTAAACGACACGCCATGTACATGGTTTACACACTCACCACTGTAATCACTACCGCTGGGCTTCCCTGTAGAATACAGGTGAAGAAGTACAGGTATATGCACACGCATTCTATATGAAGACACGATTCTCTGTGAATGCTCTATACGATATACACGTGCATATACTACAACACGTATTCTTTGTGAATATTGTGACACTATACAGTATACTCATTGGTATACACGATAGCTGCATACTCCAGTACACATTCTATAAGTAATGGGCAATTTACATGCATACAATACATTTACTACACATGTATACGGATGTTGTGTATTGTATGGACACGGTAATATTGCGTGGTACACTACCACTGCACCTACAGGTATTCTACAGGGATATTGTGCTCGCCTGGACATAATAATACATGTACACCTGGACATAATACATGTACACCTGGACATCATAATACATGTACACCTGCTGTGTTTGTGTGTATGTTTACACATTCACACTATTGTACGGCGTATTGGTGGGCGTGCAGGAGTTACTGAATGACTCTTACGGTATAAGGGAATAAGGTGCACTGTAGTATACACTGCACATGTTCAATATAGATGCATACATTACTGCAGGTGTACAGTGACGATAGTACATCCTGCACACTGTCGTCATCACGTGCAGGGTGTACGCACGGTGTACACTACAGTACACTGTCGTCATCACGTGCAGGGTGTACGCACGGTGTACACCACAGTACACTGTCGTCATCACGTGCAGGGTGTACGCACGGTGTACGCTACAGTACACTGTCGTCATCACGTGCAGGGTGTACGCACGGTGTACACTACAGTAAACTGTCGTCATCACGTGCAGGGTGTACGCACGGTGTACACTACAGTACACTGTCGTCATAACGTGCAGGGTGTACGCACGGTGTACACTACAGTACCAGTATCATGCAGGGCACTACGATCGTAGCGTACACGTGCATTACATTACGTACACGTACATTACGTACACGTACATTACAGGAACAGTATATGGCAATACACATTGAATGCGCACGCGACATCACTGCACGTACACCACATCAGTAATGAACAATGTACGGGCTTAGTTACTCCACAGCTCGATGAGCGTCTGGTCATGGGGGTATTTAAATCATACTTCACCACGCTGGTCAACCTGCAGTACTTGGACAGGCGACCCACCATGCATAACAGGTGTTACAGGCTTCTTCGTCCACGGGGCTGGATGATTCTTATAGTCGTCAATAACACCGTAGAACGTTTACTGAGACGGTACACAATGCAGGTATATCCTGCGCTTGCATGGTAAGAAGTGTGCTGCGTAGGTTTTAATTTAACCCCATACACTGATGCATCCGCACGACACAGATACATAACACAGTCAACACCACTACCGTGCATATACTGTACTGTATCTGCACATTGTATTGCACGTTAAACGTGGGGTGGGCGGGAAGTCCGTATACCCCTACAGCTTCCGTGTTATACTGGCACAGGCAAGTGGGTGGTGGGTATGGTGACTTCCTATGTGTATGCATGCTCACCACTTCATCCACCGGGGCCTCCCTCATTCGACCTACACACATCCATGGGTGGTCGCTACTTCTCCACTGCTGTTCCCACGGTCTGGAACGTCTCCTGGCACAACCCGCTTGTCATGTCCAGGCTAATGATCTGATTCCATCTGTCCAGTTGTATTTATTCCGAACAGAAATACACTTGCTTCCCCCGCACCCTGCTCCCCCTACATCTCCCATTGGTCTTAAGAAGAATCCATTATCTTTGCCTTAGGTGCAATGACATCCATGCCTCTCTCTGTACAGCGTATTGATATGCTGTCACGTTCAGATGATGAAGATATTGCATTGTATACACCATGCATACCACACCTTGCTCATGGCAACGCTTCATGCAAAACTCATGTATTGCATGCTTACACTACACACGTGTATCGCTTCATGCACGACAAGTGCATACACGCGCCACACACACCGCACCGTACACTATGCAAACTGCAGTAACACATACACAGCATATGTACATTATCTACACACGTACATGTCACTAACAGTAATGCCCCACATAAATACTACACATACATATATTTACACTGCATAGATAAACACACACGTGCTATACTTTACAACGTACACAAAAGCATCCATGCATACATTCAGTGCACACATAGGTGCAGGGTAAAGTATTTACAATGATCACACGTGGACATCCACGCATCTTTGAAAAGAGAGTCAGAAAGTTTTGATAATTAGTAATAGGTTTTACCCTTTTAACTGGCACAAAAACTGACACCTTCATTCAAGGCATCATGTTTGCAATAACCACAACACAAGCAGTCAAAATGCAAACAAAAGAGACAACTCTGATAATAATATGCACTGTCCTTGAATTTGATTGGTCCACACCCGAGACAGCTTTTCTTAGAGCCTAGTCTCCACTGGTGTTGGACCAGAAGACGCCAAAAGGCGTACAACTCAAAAACAGCGCACTATCAGAGTATTGAGGGCTCGGGGTGAGCATTTACATTATGAGACCTTTGCCAGAAACAAGATATAGGAATAGGTTTTACCCTTTTAACTGGCACAAAAACTGACACCTTTATTCAAGGCATCATGTTTGCAATAACCACAACACAAGCAGTCAAAATGCAAACAAAAAGACAACTCTGATAATAATATGCACTGTCCTTGAATTTGATTGGTCCACACCCGAGACAGCTTTTCTTAGAGCCTAGTCTCCTCTTCTGGTCCAACACCAATGGAGACTAGGCTCTAAGAAAAGCTGTCTCGGGTGTGGACCAATCAAATTCAAGGACAGTGCATATTATTATCAGAGTTGTCTCTTTTGTTTACATTTTGACTGCTTGTGTTGTGGTTATTGCAAACATGATGCCTTGAATAAAGGTGTCAGTTTTTGTGCAAGTTAAAAGGGTACTATATCTTGTTACTGGCAAAGGAGGTCTCATAATGTAATTTTGATAATTAACATGAAACATATTTGACACACTTATTCTGACACCCAATCTTTAATTTAGTGGTCATATACAGTGATTGTTTCACTTGGTATTGATGTGACTTGTGTATATTAACATTAAGGACAGTAATCCATGTTAATTTGTGACCTTTTGCTGTATGCAGTTCTCAAAAAACTTTTGATAACCCCTCCTGGATATGTGCCATCAGCACACCCTTGGCTAGAGTCACCGGATCACAAATTCGGCAATGCTCTATCCCTTTGAGTGCTGCGCCTGTTTGACTGTTCAATGCCACTCATGCGACCTTCACATCTTAACACCTTGTTCACGCACAGAGCTTTTGAGCACAAGCGCATGTGTCGTTGTGCGTGCGGCTATGTACATGCGCACACGTGTATGTATGTACTTGGTCCCAAGGATAATGGAGAGAAGTGTTCCATCGTCTCTCCACCGAGCGAGCGAGAACCCCGCCGCGGATCCTGCCGCCGACGCCGACGCCGACACCGCCGTGCTCGCAGGGCCAGAGCCCGCGTCGGCGAACGGGCCCGTCAAGATGAGCATCCCCCGCAACCTGAGCTACGTGTCGGACCTCTTGGAAAAGATGCACTTCTCCAATGAGAGCTCGGCGCTCTGCGCCACCAAAGAGGAGTGTGATGGCAGCGGCCCCGCGGCGGCGGCGGCCTCCAACGGGCCCAGCGGCGGCCACGGCGGTGGGGACGCGGGGCTCGCGCAGGGCCCGTGCAGCACTTGGGCAGAGATGCACGCCTTCGGCCGGCCGTGCGACTACATCATGATGGACAGCCCTGCGTCGCTGCCGCTTCTGCGGCGGCGCGCCAAGTCACTACCCCCACCATCGGTGCGCGCTAAGCAGGCGGCAGCGGCGAGCGGCACGGTGACGCCAAACACGCGCAAGCGCGTGCGCTTCGCCGACTCGCTGGGGCTGGACCTCATCAGCGTGCGCCACTACAGCAGCAGCGAGGAGGTGTCCATCCCGAACCGCGTGCTCTCCCAGCTGCGCCGCGGCAGCGCAAGCGGCAGTGTGCCGCGCTTCGGCTACAGCCAGCGGATCGAGAGCCGCTTCCTGGAGCCACAGTTTCAGCAGCCGGGCACGACGCCGGACTTCTTGGAGCACGTGCGGTCACAGAAGGTGTCCCTCGAGAGCCTGGTGGTCACGTCGGAGCTTGGGCTGCATGGTCTCATTAGGGTGCTCAACCTGCACTTTGAGAAGTTTGTGTCGGTGCGCTATTCACTCAATGGCTGGGCGACGCAGCAAGAGGTGGTGGCGACGTACGTGCCGGGTTCGAGCGACGGCCACACGGACAAGTTCGGCTTCTCCATCAACACGCCGCCCTTCATGGAGGCAGGTGCGCTGATACAGTTCGCCGTTTTGTTCGTGTCCAAGGATCAGCAGTACTGGGACAACAACGGCGGCGCCAACTATGTCGTGCGGTGCCACTGCCTCAAGCTGTCTCCGCCGCGGGACTACGAGGACTCGTGGATTCACTACATCTAGGACCCCCCCCGACGGATTTGCGGGGTCACTTCCACGTGTGAACGTGCGCATACGCACTCATAGGATGCGAGGCGAGGCACACGGAGGCGACGCGAGGGCACCGCTCGTGAATCGTCGATTGAAGGCCACCGCGAGCACCGTCGTCAATTCAGCCGTAGCCTCCATGCACCGGGCGGCCGTGCCGGTCACAGCTAAGGGGCCATCAGTGGCATCGCACGCCTCACCGCCCTCTTCCCCTGCCTTTCTCTTGAGCACCCCAAGGAGGGCGACCCAGACTGAGGGAAAATTATCCAACAGGGCCAAGGTGGATTTGAGGGGCCTGCTAGAGATTTGGGACGCAAGGAAGGGACGATGGGAAGGGGTTCTTTTTCAGCGTAATGGAATTCGATAATGGCAGCATAACTTTTGGGTTTTGAGTATTGATCACCTGGGTCCATTAAACATTTTTATACTGACGCTTTGGAGATTTGCTCACAGCCGTTTGTGTAAGGTGGTTAATTGACCCCATGGTTTTAAATTGTTAACTCTATTGCACGTGAAAAATAGTAATCGGTCAGACAAAAGGAAGTAAACTGCTAAACTGCTGCAGTTGGCATGTGCCCATAGGAGGTAACACAGACCAGGGTGGTCCGGTTGTTGGGTCCTAGAGGTAAGAGTCGCGAATGAAACGCATCGAGTTCTGCAGTGTGTGGCGTTTTGTCGCTTTGACAGCGACAACGATGATGATTATTCATGGGCAGTGTGGTGCTTGTTGCGGCGCCTGTGTGATTGTGGGGTCGGGTTGCGTGTGGACTGTGACTGTTGGCTTAGGAGGAGGCATAGGGCAGGCAACGATGTTCATTTAAGGGCAAGGGTGGGGAAATTCACTCACCCAGATAGGGTGAAAACTGAGGTCAAACTGGGGTTAATAACGGGCGTATTGTACCATGTTCGGGGAGCATGAGTGTTGGTGAACATTTCTTCGTAATATCTACGTGCATCATCAGAATTACCATTTTCATCATTTAAGATCCTCGCGACCTATCAACATCAAGCAAATTATCATTGCTAGGAGTGTAACGACATTTATTGATATTTGTTTTTAAGGCTCCCCATCTAAGTGTTGAATTGCATATTTAGGAATTGTCATCGGCCATGATCGAGCCACTGCTGGATGAAGGCCTCCTAAGCCGTCCTTATTTCTCCACCATCTTGCGATGCAACGGTCCATTGTCCCCCCATCTCCATAGTTGACGTCCTCTCGGGCGTTTTCTCCGTTGGCTGCGACTCTGACGTTAGGCTCGACCTCCGGCCATCATTCCAATTAGTGACAAGTCCTGGCCAAGCCCGTTTACTTTTTCATTTATCAATATGGTGCCTCTAACATGCATTATCTCTCTAATCTGTGCGGTTTATTTTTTGTGCCACACAGTGTAACTATAAGCATGCACCTTTCCATGCTTCTGTGCACGTTTCAGCATTTGTTCTGCTGTATCAACGTCCATGTTTCTGATTCACATGTTGTGTTACTCATATTGAAATTACGTGCAAATGTTACGTTTTGGAATAATGGAGTGAACAAGATAATACCAGCGAGACAGTAAAAACGACGCATCGCATAATAAGTAATAAGTTATTGAGTAAAATCTAATCTCAGCCCTGATTCACGGCAAGTCATTGCATCTCCTGGATGGAGGTAAACCATTGCAACCCTAATGATCAATGGAAATCGCCAATATCAGCTGCAGCAGTGCAAAATCAACAATTTCATTATTATTAGGAGCTGCATTGGTAATGAATGCAGTGCTGAGTGAAAGCATCACCCGTTCTGTATAGCTCCAATTTATCTCCCTCTGTCGTGTGCGCCTTACATGTTTTTTTATGTATTTTGTTTTCCGTTCTTGGAATTTACCCATACCTATGTGCTTGCTGATTCTGTGCTCGAGAAAATGTATGTTTCCTTCACGTGTGTGTTTGTTATGTTCAGTTGTGAGAGGGTGTTTGTGTGCGTCCACGTGTATTTATGTGTGTATGTATGTGCTTGTGATGGTGAGTACGTGGTATGTTCTTGCATTGTATTCTGTAGTAACACTGGTCTGGGTGTATGTTTTGGGTGTGCTTGTTTGTACTGAAACTCGCCAGATCAGTTATTGTCAGCTATGTTCCTGCCCAGGCATGCAGTGCTCTGTAATTTCCACCAAAGTTAAGCCTAGAATTGACATTTCGTCTTTTTCTTAGTATTTTTGTCATATTTTAAGAGTCATTTAAATTTCATATGACGTAGCCTAATTAATTATCGCGAGATTGTCGACACAACTGCTCCATCTGCTAACGCTCCATTTGGATGTGAGCTCTAATTTTGTACCCGTATTGTTCTCAATGCTACACTGGCACTTGCCCTACGACCTTGGCAACTTGATTATATACTGGGACCTTACAAGAGAAACTGTACGAGCTGTGACGCGAGTCGGATACATTTGCCTGTGTGTGAACCACTGCCGATCCCGATGGCCACATTTCCAAGGCTTGCATCCGGCTATTCCAAGAGACCCACGCAGCGTGTGCGTGCCAAAATTTGGGTGATATCAGATGACCCTGCACCGCCTTAGAAGGGTGACCGAAGGACACCTCCTTCTTGCTGGACGAGAGGGAGCTGCGTTTAGCACCCTGCAGTGCGCACTGTGGACTTGAGTGACTGCTCTGACATTTAGCGGCCATCGCAGAGGAATGCTTTTAAAACGAGCCACGCTGCTATGCTGGGTGTGGGGAGAGGGGTGGGGGAGGTGGTGGGGGTGGGGTGGAGGCTGCCTTGAAAAGCTCATTCCATCACCTTGTGAATGGCAGAGGTAAAAAAAGACAAAGTTACAACTGGATGATTGGCATCTTTTTTTTTAAACGTCCGCGGATGCGCGGTGGTGGAGGTGGTTTGGGGGCACGTGGAGAAGGCGCACGCCGGACAACTGCTGTAGTTTGAAAATGTTGCGCGTGTTCATCCGGGAAAACGCACACACGCTTTTACTGCGCGGCGGCAACGAGGGAGACTGCGCCGGTATTCGGATATGTTTGACAATGCACCGACGAGCGACTGAAGTTTAACTCGTTTTCTGGCAACATAACGCCATGCAAACAACTGTGTTTGAACGTACACTGAGATGTAACAGCGCACACACACGCACGCGTGTGCACTGTATGTACACAAGCTGTCAGCCTTATCCAGACCACCAGCTGCAAATAAATGAATGTGTGGATATTTTGTCGTTTAGACAACCAACTGTTAGAGTTGACAAAATGTGGCCATTCCAACATATGCCACTTCGGAGCTGGTCTTCTGAATGAGGCCGAGTGCTTTCGTACGCACAACGCTGCACACCTTTGTGTGTGTGTTTTTATATGCTTGTTTCCAGCCTGCATTAATTGTCCTATTGTGATGGGCTTTCTCGTAGTTTTGCAGTTGCGATTAAGTACACCTACAAGCTCAGTTTAGTGTCTGCGAGCTCGGAGCTTTAAAATGTGCAAACACTGTGTTCACCTGAGAGGTGAAAGTGGAATAAACACTGCACAATGAGCAGCAGCCTGTACACTGGGGCTTTTTCAAATGTAAGAACATTTAATCAAGCGAACACGAGCATTGCGACTTGAGATAGCGTGTGCAACGGTACCGTAGAGGAGATGTGTGCAGAGCAGCTTGCACGCTCCTTTTCTATAATTTACAGAATAACAGTCTTTTAGCCCTGCGCTGTTGGGAGTGCGCTACAGTGCACGACATCTGGAGGGATTGGAGAAATGTCACCATCGATCGGCCAACTTATTGTTCGGCATCTTTAATGGAATTAATTGGCTGCGTCGCACTGTTGTGCCATCAATCAAGGGAACTGTGTTCTGAAGAGGGAACTGGTTGAGTCGGGGAGGGAGGGGGTTAAAACCTGGGGTCATAACGCTGCTATTCACCACTGCCGACCATCTGTCTTCTCGTGCTCTACGGAGATTCGCTATTCCAATGCAAATTATCTGCTGATGTATCGCTCACAGCTGTTGATGGCAAAAATCGATCGGTGGTATTTATTCAGAAGTTGGGTGACGGTCCTTTCATTCTTTCTTTCAGTTACGTTTTCTCGTTATGCAAGGGAGACTTCGGTTTTACCCTCCAGAAAGGGTCCCTAACAAATATGTGAAACAGAATTTTACTTTCAAATTTGGTATCCGGACTATGGCATGGGCACAACAAGGGCCGCATCGGTATTTGATTTTTGTGAGTGACATCACAGATTTGAAGCTCGAGGCTCCGTTTCGTACGTTGCCAGAAAGCAGTTTTCCGTGGACCTGGTAGGAAACTGCCCAAATTGACAGAGCATTGCATAGGTCTGGCCGTGTTTCCACCACATATTTGCAGAAACTAGCTTAACCACAACACAATGGGCAGCAAAAGGATCGTGGGATATGAGTTGCTGAGTTAGGCCCCTTGCTGAAAGAGACACGGCTATGTGAATTGTTGAACACAAATGAACATGGCTGCTGCAACCTCAGGAGAATGTAAATCTACTACCAGTTCATAAAAAATTTAAAAATATCTTTTTACTTGAAAAATTACTTACAACCCCTTTGTCAACCCCCTGCTGGATGAAGGCTTCCCCACGCTCGGTTGGTCATAGGGTTCCCTTTGACCGTTACCTCATGCTGGTTTGTGAAGGGAAGGCAACTACTGCTTCAGATAATCGCTCATCACTGATGTTAGCCGTGGCCCGGCAGAAAACTCTGGTCACCAGCTTCATAGCGCAGTGCGCAAACCACTGCGCCACTGCTTTGGCGCGGTATGCACTGCACTCTATCCACCCTTTTCCCTGTCCCATATTTATTTTATGTCTCTTTAAATTGCGAGCCAAGTGAGAAGTTTCACTTCAGGAGTTCCACGACTCTGTGCAACAGTTCCTTATTTCCGATGGAGAAAGCTGACCCTGCACAGTTGCTTCTGAGTTCACGTAAACCTTGGTCTGTACACGCCGCTTCTGAATTGGTGCTGTCTGACAAACTACGGGTTTACAGCTTTACACACCTTAAGCAATTAAATGAAAATGCAGAGAGAGCTCCGCAGAGCGACAGTGGATGGGAGCAGTAGTACTAAGCCACTTGCTTTCCTTGAGATGAGATTGGCTTGGAATGGTCACATCACTGAGCTTGTTTCAATGTGTGCTGTGAAATGAGTAAAACTGTACTGCAGTCTGTGGTTGCCTTCTGGAGAGACTGGCCACTACCAGGGGAATGTGGAGTTTTTATATATGGCTGGCTTGAACCTCCCAAGAGAGTTTAAGACTGCCTCATTGATCAGGGAGACACATTTATGTCATTTTAGTTTATGAAAATAGATTTTTGGGTTAGGCCTTGTTAACAGAAATACATGGATCATTATTGGCTGTAAAAAGCTACGTGTTAAATTGTTGTCCATGTAAACACTATTGATTACTGCTTTTTGGGAAGTCAGCAATGGTCTAGTGCATCAATTGGCCCCTGTCTTGATAATGTGCAATTTCCACCACTGGTCCAGGGCCACCAACAGAGATGAGCACTGACCAGTAGTTATGTGAGTCGGGAGTATTTTTGTTTCATAATATCATGTGGATAAAAGGTATTCTGCATATAACTTAATAATACTTCAAGGTGCTCGGGAAAAAAATACGATCACGCTCTGACTGGATGTTAAACATTAAACACTGGACAGGGTGAAATCTATCTCATTTGAACGACAGTTGGTGGTTAGAGAGAAGCGGAAAGAACACTGCAAGGACATATCAGTAAAGGAAATGGTCATGCCCCCAACAGGCCTCAAGGCCAAAGGACTATATAAGTAGATGAATTGATATGCTCTAATCGAAATTGAATATTGCAATTGAAAACAACAACAGTGACTGCAGGTGTACCCAGCATGTGCTTGGTAAGAGATACACTCATGATGGAGTTGGCCTGGGAGTCATGGGACCTAATGCATCTGTCAAAGCATCGAGCCACCTCCTTTTACCGGCCTGGGTTGAACCCCAGGGGGCCACATAGAGCGGAATTAATTATCACGGTCGGTGAGCTTTATAATAATGATGACATTTTTTCTAGCACCGTAACGTGGAAAGCCATCACAAGGGCACTTGGTCACGAATTCCAAAGTCAAAATGTCTCCCTCAAACACACATAGGGCGGCACTGCCCCTCAGTTGGTGGCCCTGAGCCAGTGGTGAAAATGTAACGTTCCTATGGCAGGATACTGTAGAGCACGATCACTGATGACTGCACAAAACAGTTGAATATTATATTTGTGCTGGAATTTGTCGCGGCCAGCTCTTGAGGGTCTACCAGTGTCGGACACAAAAGGGAAGTCCATAAGAAACGAAACATAATGGAGCGACGTCCTCGCAATGTTATGCTGATAGTACAATTGGTGTGTAATTGAGTAGAGAGTCAAATAACAATTTTTTTGAAATCCTCGACAATAATTTGTGCAGTTTAATGACGGCCCATTTGTAAATGCCTCGCGGAGGTCGGAGATACCCACTGAGATCAGAACTTCACACTCGGGATAATGAAATTATGTGCACGCCGTGGGTGAATTCCCAAGCCTGGAGGCGCGCCGGCTTATTTTAATTTTTGTCGTTATTTAAGTCCCCCCCCGCCACCACCACAGTACTAGTACCTTAATAACCTACTTTTAAAATAACACTTTCGTCAATAACAATGCCTTCAAAGAATATATATAATCTTGATTTGAAGCTTTCGTGACTGCAGGAATCCATACTCTTTGGTTCTTTCGGTAAAGTCATGTAGGTAGAAAATAAAATAAATCACGTTTCGGACGCTTGTGTTGCGCCCGAAACGGCGTGATTTATTTTATACCTACGTGACTTTACCGAAAGAACCAAAGAGTATAATATATATGTAATAAGAGACATTTTGTACAATGGCCCTTCATATGCTACAAAGGGCCATTTACCACAACTCCGCCAATTGTATATATTTTTTTCCCTTATAATATGAAGAACCATTGCCGGAAACGTTTTTTTTCAGGCAGTGTTATTGGCGAATATGAGGCGTTTTGTTGTTTATTAATTATGCTTGTGCACCACTGCCAACGCAGCAGGATCACCAAATAATTTTTTTACATGTGTTTTGTTGTTGTTAAAGGCACTCTCTGACGTGCATCACCATTTATGGGATGAGTGATACCGGGGGAGGAGCGGCCCCCGTGGTGCCTATTGACAGCCTCCTGGGTTGGCTGTGTTGATGGTTCGTTTTATGGCCCTTGTCCCGCTAAAGTTATGCAGGAGGACGGGACGTGGGTTCGATCCCGACCCATGACGCCTGCTGATTATTTAGAGTTCGCATGTTCGCCCTGTGGTCGCGAGGTTTTTTCTCCGGGTCCTCCAGTTTTTCCCTTCACATTTAGAACCTGCATTTAAGAGTATTTGGCTGATATATATGTCCACGTGATAAGCCACTTCTTTGAGCTATCATTTGTGACCAGGTCGCTTTTGAAAAAGAGCTATATAGCTCAGTGGGCCTTACCTGGTAAGATAGACAATAGTAAATAGTTTAAGCAGTGCACTCTTTCTGCAAGAATGTTTAAGTGTCTAGTTAATCGGTTTCATGTGGAGAAGCTAGGTGGATTATTCTCAGGATTGTGAGAGATGGTGGTGGCTCAGGCAGGCCTTCAACCCAGTAGGGGATTGATCATAGCTAACTATGATTATGATGATGGGAGTGTGTGTTTGTGTTGCTATATTTATCGTGGGTGGCATCAAGAGGAGAAATAATGTTGCATCTGTTCCGGAACTCGCAGCAACTTTGTTGCAAAATCTGGAAAAGGCTCCGTGTTGCCATGGCCAACAGCGACGTGATTGGCTGCGTGTGGTCACGTGGGATGGATAGGGTTGTTATGACAACACAAAGGCAAAGATAAATATGGCAGCGAATGTTAAAGCATGCAGGTGTTAACTATTAATAATGTACTTGATAAATAGATCTGTATGATGGTAAATAGTACACTCATAACTTATGCATAATTTCGTATTTAACTTGATTTATGTAAAATTCCTTCATGTTTTAATACAGTTCATTATTTGACCTGGCTCAGGTTGTAGCTGATTACTAACAAACTCTCCCAATGAGATGCGGTTAGGGCAGGGGTGGCACCCTGTGGGTCCAGAGCCGCATGCGGCTCTTTGAAGGACTCCTTCGTGACGTTATTTATTAACTACCACCGTCTCATTCACATGCATTGCAGCTCTTTAAATATAGAGGTTTTTTACCAAATTTGAAAAATATGGCTCTTCTTATTGTGTTTTCCGACTCCTGGGTTAGGGTCCATCGGTGATCATATTCATAGCCGGGGGGTAGCTGTAACCTTCAACTGACAATGGGCAAGGAACCGCGTCAAATTAAGGAGCGTTGTTCAACGATATTGACTTTGGTGTCCCTAACCTGATGAGCAACAAGAGCACGTGGATCAGGGAACAAACACAAACCAGAGACGTCACATTGACAAGAGGAGTAAATGGGCTCGGTAGGACACATCGCCGGACAGAATGATGGACGAGGCTAGTGGATGAGGCCGGATTGGCATCCAAAAAAGAGAATGCATCCAAGAAGGCGACCCTCTGCGCAGATGGAGCAAAGAGATCGGTTCATGTGTAGGAGTGAGATAGGTGGTAGCAGGACGAGACCGTGTGGGATGGCAACGGCGTGGAAAGGCCTTCATCCAACAGTGGCATAGACAATGGCTGATGATGATGACGAATATGTTGAGAGTTCGGCGATGGAAACTTCTCCGTGTGGCACACTTGGGCGGTGGAAGCGTAATGGAAACGCCTCGCACTGTCGTTAGAGTGTCCCACTCGCGATCAGAAGGTCAAGGGTTCCAATTCCGGTCGGGGTGTGGTTGGATTGTCATTGTCATCCCTTCTGGTTGGTTAAAATTAATAGTACCACTTTTATGAAAGTAAACAGCAGTTCTTCGAATACACTGGTCCCCTGTCGTAGGAATGTGGAATTTCCACCACTGGCTCAGGGCCGCCATTGAAGATGACACTTGGACGTTTAGCTGTCGGAAGGTGAAAATCACCCGGTTCTCTTGTCAGGACAATCGAGTTACCATGGACTCAGCGTGTTCTGCGTGTACACAGGGTGGGTGGAGATTCTGGACCTCGGACAAAGTTGCGAGAGACGGTGCCTAGGGGACGTTTGAGTTGCGAGAATTGCTTGGGCACAGGGAGGGGGAGCATTCTGCGAGAGAGAGAAAGAGACGGCTAGCACTGTACAGTGTGGCATGTGCGGGTGAATGAGCCTCGGTATTATTTTTATACGTAAACACGCACGTGATGAACACGCAAGCACGCAGCCAAAAAAACACCGGACACGGGGATGCGCGCACGTGCACCCTAGCAATGCTCTGCGAAAATCACCGAGTCCCCAGAGTGGTTGTCTCGTGGCTTTGCCGGCGTTGCGTGCGAGCATTTGGTGTCGTGGGTTTTTTTCCCCCCTCACATTGTTTGGCCGTAATACATTTTGCTATCACTTGACCGGGATTCCCATTGGCTGGACGCACGTGTTACGACCCTCTTTTATGGGCCTCGCCAGTGACTCGACATTTCAAGTTATTGTACACGTACAGCAAAGGGGCTGTTGTCTGGTACAGCCTTAAGCAATATGCGCACCGGCGAGACGAGCGGCCGTTCGACTGGCACTGCGCAATGAGAATGTCCATTAGCTCAGGGTCCGTTAAGGGTAGCGAGATGGCCCCAGATGCATTTCAACCTTAGGTAACACATCTCACTCTTTGCCTTTGGATTATTATGCAATAATAAGTCAGGGAAGGCGATTTTGTTGAAGTCACTTGAAGGAAATAACATTCTATCCATCAGCCTGTTGGTTCTTTTTCCACGTTGATGTTTGCCAGTAGCATTTGTTTATAAGTTGAGAATTTTGGACCAGTTTCATCTTCGCTCTCTTTACATCCCTCTGCCTCTGTCCACCCAGCAGTATAAAATTGGTACGCCACAATTAAGTTGATTTTGCAGATCGTGTGTAGAGGGTTAAAGTGTGGGTACTATCCCGCCTTCCAAGACGTCCGGTCAGCCAGCGTGGAAGAGTAAGCCAAATACCCTCTAGGCCCCTCCCCCTGTAGTAGAATCTCATCGGCAAGGTGTGCATGCTGATTGGCCTCTTTGTGCAAAGCCTGCTTTCGGTTGGCGATCTGACCCGCAGTCTTCGCCCGATCCAGATTGGCTGTAGCGCTGCGTGCATTTGATGTCACGATTGTGATTTATTTATTCGCGTGTCTAAAATATCCGCGTGCGTGGGCCATGGCGGAGACGCTCGCATCTTGAATGTCCATCCTCTGGCCTGCCGGCAGAACGCCAATCTTATTACTACTTACTGTAGTGGAGTCGAAATAAAACTTTCATGGGGAAGTGAAGCCGTGCAGTGTTCATGCCTTAGAGCAGAGCGTAAATCTCATGAATAAGTGATTGGGCTCGCGTTGTGCCCATCACCACTGGGACATCTTTCGGATGAAAACAACGAGCAGTCGACAGTGAGGACCGTCCTTTCTCTTGAGTGCTTCCTGCCGAATGCTTTACAATTTTTTTTGCAATGAAATAGATGGAAAGATCTGCAGCCTTTCAGGCTTTAAGTAGGAGCCAAGTTAGGCTCTCTGCTGCATGCTTTAGCATTTAATTATAAGTGCGGTAGTGCTCTCGACTGTCTCTGGACATCAGAATTATTGTCTATCGAAAGTGGTGAGCCAGGGACGAATTTAAGTGACTCGAATGTGCAGAACAACGGATGCACGAATGGTACAGGCTGGGGACATTCCCGCAGTAGGTCTCATCTGCTGTATACAAAGTACAAGTGTAGCCCTGCAATTGCTTGCTCTACAACTGTTGGCGGAAGGGCCTCCGTTCAAGGGAGCTCTTGGCCGACTCTTCTATGTTGTCCAGATGTATTAGACGACGATCTGCTCGTCTTGTTTAGCAAAACATCACATAGGCCCAGGGCGAAGGGGCTACACAGTTTTCAGAGGGTCGTGAAAGGAAACGGTTTACAGTCAACGTAAACCGTTTTTTTATGTTGAATGACCGAGACAAAAAGTCTTGGTGCCTCCCTACGCAAACTACCATAGGGTGGTACTCATCTTGTATTAGCTGCCCTGAACAATTGATGGAGATTCCACATTCTTGGCCAGGTCCAGTCTCTCAACAGGACGACCACCATTGATGACTTTGCACATAGTGCTCATTTTATCGCCATTGGACGAATGATGGGGTTGAGTCAACCTTCAGCTTATTGTATCTCGGGTGCTTTGCCACAGCGCTTCGTATGTGTCGGCAAATTGCAAGAAACTACAATTTTAATACAGTGGCTTCAGAGCGTTTGCAACGTGAGAGTGTCTTGCATAAGTAGAGGCAGATTTGTGGACTGATGTTGAAATGTGGCACTCACTCGGGGCGACAGTTTTCCATGAACTTGAGCAGCCCGTTTGCGCCTCGTCGTGTTGTGCCATCATAACGGTGACTGCCGAGAACTTGTTGCGAGATTTCGCAGGAACGAAACGCTCGCTGGTGCCGCGCTGGTTCCGCGCTGCTGAAAACGTCTTGCGCATTGCTCGTCACACGTCACACTCGCTTGGCCAGTTTTGTCGACAGACGCGACCGGGTTGCTACTTCCCCCCCCATCTGGAAATAGCGCCGTGTGTGTTTGTACCGCGCGGTCAGTCTGGTTTCCAAGGTGAAGCACGTACTCGTGCCCGCTGGTAATGGTGCCTCTCCCGCTAACAAGGTCCATTAGCGCAATCCGGACAGCATTTACAAACGGCTGGGGGCACGGCGATCTGATTGGGTGACGTGGCGAGATCGCGGCGGGGAAAAGTTGCGAGCATTCCTAGGAATAGTGTGAGCCGGGCAGCAATCAGTATCTGAAAATGTGCTGATTGCTATTACTGGCCTGATCTTATTAGACTGTTTCTTGTGTTACCTTCGTGAGCGAATTTGTGTGAAGTTAGGGCGTGCGTAGGCGCGTCTGGGTGCAAGTCGTTCGGCGTGGCAGGGATTTCTGCACGGAGCATTCGTCTTGTACCGATCAGGGTTAAAATCCTGGTTGGGACGCGACGACAAAACGGACGTCATTTTGTGAGGAATCGCAACAGAGGTCATCTTCCCAGGGACGGTGCCTGTCAAGGGAATGTGAAATTTTCTGCCAATGACTCACAGGGCAGCCAATGTAGTTGAGAACTTCCCCATTGGTTTCTGTTTGTAGCTCCAGATTGAGGAGAACCGCAACCTGGAGCCATGACTTGCCACTGCACCCCATCGCTTGAGCCGACTTTCATATCTTGCCTGGTGTGTACGTGATAGCCGTGACCGCATCCTTTTTCGCCGCGGAGGATGAAGTCACCGCCGCGCCTTCCTGGATATTGCATTATCTTACAAATCCGCGTTCTCACGTAGTGTCATCTAATTAGGGGTGAGGTTTTCGCAAGTGGGATAGTGGTGTAATATAAATTTCCTATTGGTGAGGCACTGCTTATGAATGAGACCCAAGTTTCATTGGATGATGGAAGTAAACACAATATTACTCTCTTGCAATAAGATTTGGAATGTGAACTGCAATGCATTCTAGATTCATTGCTGCAATGAGAGATGGTGTTTGGGATTGGGTAAAGTGTTATAGTTAGGGATAGGATTATGGGTTGTGAAAGGGATCAAATCCAAACCCAAATATTGTGAAGCGTTGGAGTGACATAAATGTTTTGAAATTGTTTGTATTGCAGTAATTGGAGTGGAATGGTGGCACAGTGGTGAGCACATTGCACTATGAACTCGGTGGCCTGAGTTCAATTTCCAGCCACCGATAACGTCAGTGGCGAGTTATACCTGCACCGGTCGCTCGGCAGCCTCTTCACTAACCCACATGGTAAGGTACAGTCAGATAACCTCTATGACAAAGGCTTGTGGAGGCCTTCATCCAACAGTGGATTGATAAAAAAGTGGAATATTACATTTTATACAGTGGAGTTGTGTAGTTTGGGGTTAGTGGTGAACTGTTACTGTTAGGCACAGGGATAATCGCTTGGCTTATAGGTAGAGCCGTGGGTGGGCACAAGCCAAACCCCCAAGTCTCATGACGCACGATCCCACAATGATGATTAGTTTTTGCGTGTCACGCCACGATTGTAAACCTGCCTTGGGTCTTTGGCAGTGTCTGCAAGCGGTTTACAGAATCCGCATTGTGTTACCGAGGACATTGTTGAGGGTAGAGTAATATTTATCTGTTTATTTTGGGACTACCGCCCCCAGTGCTGCATAGCAAATGCGCCCCTGTAGATAACCAGTTCTCCGTGGAATTAGTGGTGTTACTAAATCATTGGCTTAGTTTCCACAGTCAATTTACCAAGGTGCATCATCGCGTTTTACTGATCTTGTGATATCGCGCACAGGAAGAGGAGGTCGTCATGTGCCCAGACCATAACGTGAGTCAAAATTTTAAATGAAAATCTGCGAGCAAATTAAAGTCTTAATAGAATCACTGTATAAAATGGGGTATGTGTCACTACTAAGTTGGTCTCCCTTGCGTAAAAAGGTAATGGATCTCATTGGGCACTCGCTACGGTAATTATAGGACCTTGGCTTGAAATTAAATAAGTATTTGTGACCCCGGGCACACAGAGCGCTCTACTGTTGTAGAGACCCGTGTGTATTTATTAAGTGGTTGTGTGCAGATAGGATAGAACGAATTGGTGCTCTCAGAGCAAATTGAAGAGATTTAAACGAGATATGTACCAGCGTGGTTAAGACATTCACGCAATCGCTGCTGGCCCTGACTTATGATGTCATGTCTCCCCGATGCGGTTTTCGGGTTGGACCGCGTGTTGTCCGGTACGATGTCCAACGTTTCGCTGCATGCCCTGGGAGGTTGTTCAGAAACGGGTTTGAACGGTTGTTCAGGAACGGTTTGTTCCTTGAACACCTTCAATTCAGTTTCTGTTGAAGCTCTCGGCACGTGGAATACAAACTTAAAACGCGAAGACACTAACAGACGCAACAGAGAGATATTTCGTCAGACTCTCGCAAAATGACAGTGGCAATTATTATCACGTGACATTTTTACCCATTAGAAAAAGATACACGCTGAATTTCGGTCAACTCGGGAGAGATCCGTTGGATGTTGGACTAATTCCTTTTTTGAGTAGTTTTGCAATAAAAAAGATGTTCTGCATACACTTTGCATATAATGTCAACACACGAGACTGACTAATACACCGCACCCCGTATATGACAGTTTCACCAGAAGACAAACCACAGGATTATCCGTCGCGCTCACACGTTGTTCGTGGATGTGTTAATGTTGCCGTCTAACGTCAGCATTGTCAATGCAGTTGAAGCTGGATATAACCAAACCACCTTTGTAGCAAGGTGGCCTTATATCCACAGTAGCGTGTTTGCATCAGATGTTGCCATTCACCCTGAGCGGCAAGGTGGCCCAGTGGTAACCTCGTGGCTCACAGCATTCCTGGGTTCGATCCACCGACTCGGGGTGTCTTTCTGTGTGCAGTTGCTAAATTCTCCCCCGCTCTTCTGCGTAGAATTCCTCCAGGTTCGCCGGTTTCCTCCTCCCATAGTTCAAAAAAACACCCCCATACAATTTATTGAACCTAGGATTGACCAAACATCCCAATGCTGAAAAATGAAATGGCAATTTGCTCAAAGTGTGATGACTGTGCGCACAGCAGTAACATCGCCTCCTCCTGTAAAAATGTTGCAAGACCCCTCCTGAAAAGGATTCCTGAGACTGGAGGCTTTCCCTCGGCAAATAAATCGTAGTAACAACAACCTTCCGCCCACCAGCGTGACAATGTAAAGCGTGTGTTGCTTACATCAGAACGGAGCATGTGGTAGGTGTGCTTATATCCAGCTTCTGCTTTACGACGATTTGCTAAGGAGTTAAAAAAAATCTGCTGTAAGCGCACGAAGGCTGTGTCTGTGGGGGGGGGGGTCTGTGTGTCATTGTTCGTGGCAGATGTTGTTGAGTGTGCGGTGAAACTTGAATGCCCCAAAACGTGTCGTGTGGAATTTAACGCACAGGGTACAAAAATCAATTAAATCTATTTAAAATATATCGTATATATAAAAGAAAAATAGTGACTATAATATAGAGAAAATACTGGGTTTTAAATTTGTGCAGAGCGAGTATATGTACACGATTATAAATGTTAATTAATTATCTGTGCACTTTTGATTAGCTAGCGTTCGTGACTTGGGTGAGATTTTATTTGAGAGCGGACTACCGGTGCAATTCAGAGTGAGGCTTAAGGTGCGGCCTTATGAGTTACTCTTCTCTACCTACTACAGAGAGAGATGATCCTTTTGCATGGAAGGTTACCGACAAATGTATAAGTGTGGTTCTTGCTGTCCCCATTCGTACAAGGTCGCCACATATTGGTCAAGGTCTCAGTCCTGCTGTTAAGACTCGGCTTGCCACGATACCACAGGACATCAAATTTCACAATGTGACGTTTTTCACAAAATTATGAATTCAAATTTATTCCCATGAATTTGTAATTGTTTCACATTTTATCGTTTTTGTTTCTGTGCTTTGCTGTACTTCTCGTACGAATAAAGACGACTTAAATGTTATTCAACCGCAGTCTGCTCGACAAACGCCTGCCTTTTTCATACCGTAATAGGAACTTTACACAACTATTTTAAATAATTATAAAACTAATTAATTAAAGGCACCACGAACATGATGGTGTAATATTAATACTGTGCCGCCAATGTGTCAAAAAATCATAATGAATAATATATTAAAAACTGTAAATATAGATTTACAGTGTGTGTGTCTGTGTCTTTGTGCTCGCGCGCACACCAGCATCAAGGTAAGTGCAAATAAAATATTTATCTTTTCCTATTAATATTCCTTTATTTTATGTTTTATTTTCTATTCGGTATTTATTGCATGCAAATGTCCACTTCTTATATATGAGTTTAACAATGCTTCCCTTTTTTGTTGAACCGAAACACATTTTATAACACTGACCGTATGGACATTTATTCTGTTCAGACTTACGAACCGTTCGACTTGCGAAAGGATCTCAGGAACGAATTAGTTCATAAGTCGAGGACCGTTTGTATCGGCGTGTGTTTTCTGTATTTAGTCAAATGTTCTCAACAACCATGAAATTAACTAAGATATTTTGCCACCGATGTTCAATGAGATTCAATTTTATCTAAGTAAGTGCTTCAAGTGAAGTAAATGCAGTAAACAAACCAAAATTACAACTTATTCACTTAACGCTCAGCCAGACATCTTGGAAGAGGTAGCAGCACCCACACTTTACCCCCACCACCTGCCGATCGACTAACTATGCATTACCTATTTATACACTCCGCTGTTCCTGACGCGGCTATCTGGCTTGACCACCTGGATCTGAAATTGTCGTTGTTGCTCTGCATCTACATCAGCCATACGGAAGAAGACCCATTTATATTGCTGGGCGTACAGAAGTAGTGGGGGCATAAAAAAACGGGCCCATTATGAATGTATGTATGTTGAACTTCTTTCGCACCATACGTTGCCAACCATGCTAACCAGAGGTGTGCGGAAGGACAACTAAAGACAAAAAGCAGCTCCATATAAATGAGTTTTCAATCCAGATAATCCACAAGTATGTGCCTCCAGTGGCTTCCTAATATCAGAAGGAAGAGCGTTCCAGACGGCCGCAGAAGTGTATCTGAAAGTGCACTTGTATTCTGGATTGCAAGTCCGGTGTGCTAACCATGACATCACGGCAGCTCCCGACATGAATCAACATAACCACTGTGTCAAAGTACAACATTGCTCCATACATTGGTGAGCATTGGGTGGTGCTTATGTTGGTATCGTGTCGGTTGTGGAAATTCCACATTGCCATGACAGGATCCACGCTGATTTCCCATCAGATGGTGCGAGGCTAAACAGGCAGTGCCCATTTTGCCGACTACGGAGGGACGACACGGAGCTGGATCGACCCTGTCCAGGATTCTAACTGTTGATCAGGCGGTCGCGAGCCTTTCACTCTAACCAATACAATCACACGTGTTTATCAGCCATGATCAATTAACTGCTGGATGAAAACCTCTCCAAGCTGTCGCCATCTCTTGCTTGTGGTCCTGTGACGTCACAATACACCCAGCATCGTTTCTGGCCACGTATGTGCCAATCCCCACCCCGTCTCCGCCGGGGGGAGCGGTGGTGAAGCGGTGAGTGCACTGCGCTATGAACCCGACGAGCCGAGTTCGATTCCCACTCACGGCCACCAACGCCAGTGACGATTATCTGAACCGGTCCTGGGCCTCCCCTAGGTCGACTCAGCCTCAAATGAGTACCTGGTGCGGTGCGTAAACATCGCCACTAGGGTGACAAAGGCGGCCAGGGCGTGGTGCTGGCCACCCACATCCACTCGTGTGCCGTGCCGACCTTCATCGTTGCTCGTTAAAAGCACTTGCCCCAACAATCTATTAAGGCTATACGGGAGACCTTTGTTTTTGCCTGCAGCCGCCACCCAAATAAAAAAATACGTAAATGTGTTTGACAGCTAATTGGTGGCGTTGGGACATTTTCCCCGTGCGTTTGTTCGTGGGAGACTGAAGCTGGACGCATTTACCTCCGACAGAATCAACTCCAATGCACTCCATTCACGGCGAGCGTCCTTCGAGAAAGACGAAACACGTATAAATCCCGTCCGCTTGGGGCGGTTGTTTTTCTTTTGCCGTCCGCTGCGGGGGAAAGAAAAAAATAAACAATTTAACACTCGCAGAAAGAAAAAAATAACTCGGTCCCCATGTGGCTTCTCGTCAACTGCGATGCCTCTCCGGGGTTCGTGAGCCGTAAGCTTGCGGGTGATGAGTTATAGTCCCAATACTCTGCACCAGTCCGTTGCGCGTTCGCTGGACTGCAGCTGTTTATAACCGAGGGCCACGTTCTGAACAAACACTTCCTCCCCTCCTCTTGGTATTGTAACTGTTGCTGTTATAAATTGCTATTGTTTCGCTTGTTTAGCCAGCCAAATCCTCACCGAGTCTCGTTTCTCATGGCTGCTGGACTAGCGCCGCCCCAACGCTTGTGACTCGAGCATAACCCACTACGCTGGTCGGCGCGGATTGCATAGACATGGGAGCATAGACGGACAGTGCAACTGTTGCTCCATTGCTCTGAGCCAGTGGTTGTAAATTCCACATGACTATGATGAGGACCGTTCGAACGTTCTCTCCGTATGGCAACGACTGCTGACTTCCAACAAAGTGATACTGCTGAGTTGACCCTTTACTGGAACCTTCTGTTTACGAGCTGAGCACTCTAACCATAGTGCCTGCGACCGGCTTGCTTTTAAGTACAGTAATCTGTTCTTTTAAGGACAGTAATCACCGGGGAATGACAAAAGCACCTGCCATGTACCGTGGCCGGGACGCCTAACCTATAGAAAACAAAAAAAACAAAGATTACCGAGACTCATGTAGTTGAACTTTTTTTTGCACCATACGTAGCCAACCCCCGAATGGGGATACAGCGCTGCAGCAGGATTAAATGACTCCGCCAGAGAATGAATGATACATTATGTTAATGCTTTAGGCCCATATATGGGGTAATTGGGCGTGGCTTTGCCCATATAAGGAATACTGGAATGGGAATCGACATGTTTTTAACGATCCAATGATCACGGGAATCGACCGATTTTTAACGATACGAAGCTTGATCCATGCTCGATCCATGCTCGAACACATAGGCATGTGTATTCAAAATATCATAACCATGCTTGAGCCTGTTACAGCGCACGTGGATAACACGGGGAGACTTTGGTGAGAGTCGCCACACTAGCAATCGAGGCTGCGTTGGCTTCCGTCCCACAGTTGGCGATGGTGTCGCTAAGAGCCAATCACGTGATGCTACCGCCCCGCTGTTTTGAACATTCAATATCGCAGTGTTTCCAAATTCTCACACATGCACACACACCACCTCGGCCCAGGGGATAGAGGCATCCACTTTCCTGCCCACCCAACTGTCCACCTCTGCTGTGAAACCTTTCCAAGTGCACGAGGTGATCGAGCCATCGATCCGCCTTGGCGGATCGATGGCTCTATTTGTTCGGTCCTGCTGTCGCAAAATTTGAGGTCTGTTTCAGTCATCGGAGATGTTTTCCCAGGCTGCTTGCACGTGTACCAAGAGTCCCTTGATCTGGATTCATTATTTTCCATTGGAGATATAATATAGATTTCAAATGAGTCAGTTCCATGGATTCGGTCACCCAAACAGTGTAGAAAATCCATCTCATAAGTATATTTTTTTACTTAATCTGGAAAAAATATATATTTCAGCTCTGGGAAATAATTGTTTACATTTAATTTGGTTGCTTGCGACGGACAAATCTAGGAGAGTGCAGTGCCCCTCGTGTGGACATGGGGGGGGTCACTTGAACGCATCTCAGAAGTAGCTCTGCAGTGTCACCTTCCGCGGGCCGGTCTCTTAACATGGGGGCGATGGACTGCTCCGCGAGCGTTCCAAATCAAGACTTCCTCTCACGGGACTGACGCCAACAAAAAAAACGAAATCCTGTACCAAACAAAAGACAACAAATAAACTGAAGCCTGTACCAAACAACAGAGAAGTCTGCATTGCCTTTCACAGAGACACAGAGCGAGCAAGAAGCTCGCCGATGATTTGCATGAATCGCCCCAGAGTGGTAGAGCCACCCCGCTCTGGCTCTTTGTTGTTATGTTTTTATTTCCCGCTCCGGCTCTTAAACCCGCCGACCCGTACTGTAAGGGGGCTCTGTCCCCACCCTTCCCCGTGACGATGACATCAGCCGATACCCTCTTCATAAGTTCACCTATTTTAGGAGGCGTTGAAAGAGGGCCTTTAAAAAAAATATACGCGGGGCGGACTGATTTCTGGCTCGCGGTCGCTATTAAAAGTGTCACACAAACGGATTGTGTAAGAAGATGGAAACTCAAGTCGGACCTGTGGTCAAGGTGCCCCCCCCCCCCCCGTCCCACCCCCCGTCCTCCTAGCTGGCAGCTGCCTTGCGACGTTTGATTATTATAGATCAAGGGCAGGAGATGGTCACGGCTGGCCGATGTTGTGGATGCGTCCACACCTTTCAACCGCTTCCTTTTTTTGCTGCAGCTGCTTGGTCCCTCGGCTCTTTCACATTCTTGTGTGTCTGTGTAGCTATGTTGAACTTCTTTCGCAACCGAAACGTAGCCAACCGTGCTAATCGGGAGGTGCGGGGAAAGTACAACAAGATAAAACGCAAAAAGAGCAGTTATCAAGAAATGAGTTTTCAATCTCGAAAATATCGATACCCAACCAGAGCAATGTCTGCGCTCACAGTATCTCCAGGTATTTCCACTGAACAGGGTGCCGCCCATCGTGATTGTGAAACTGGCAAGGCGATTGCTTGACTTAAAGCTTTCGTGACTGCAGGAATTCATATTCTTTGGGTCTTTTGGTAAAATCACGTAGATAGGTTCAAAGAAAATAACAAAAAACTACGACGTTTCGATCGCAACACGAGCGGTCGACCTCTCATGTTGCGATCGAAACGTCGTAGTTTTTTGTTATTTTCTTTGAACCTATCTCTGTGACTTTACCGAAAGACCCAAAGAATAAGGCTATTGCTGATCACAGGACCGATGGGCTCACACTCGTTGCAACTTAACGTGGAGGTGAATTTATTTACCTAGGTCCCTGACCTCTGGGAGAGCTACTCCCAAGTGATGTAATATGATATTCACTAAATATATATCTTATTTTTATCCTGGAAAGCCTCTTAATATCCTTATTTGAGTGTTTGACAATGTCCTAATTAGTATAATTGAAAGCGGGAGTTGCCTGAATTATTCACAAAGGGGATAGGTCAGCAGTCAGCTTACTGCACCGCTATCCAGTGACCCCAAGGGTTCTGTCCCTGTGTGATCCACCAACCCTGCCGTGGTGTGCATTTCCACCACTAGACATGCCAAAGAGCAAACGTGTAAACCCAAAGCCAGGCAACGTTTGAATGATTATGCGACAAATCGGCACTACTGAATTATTATATTTGTCACGCTTTTGATGCAGCCAAAACCTGCAAATCGCGCTGAATATGTATAATCCCAATGTGAACTTTAATACCGAAATGTCGCATTCATGTGGAATTAATGTTTATCTCGACAGGAGCGGTGGCATAGTGGTTAGCGCATTGTGCTATGAACCCGCCAACCTAAGTTCAATTCCCAACCACAGCTAATATCAGTTGTGACATCTGCACCGGTCCTGTACCTGTACCCTCCCCCTGCCTCCAATCCTGACTTCACCAACCCGCATTGACCAGTGTGGTGAAGTATGGTCAGCGAAACCTGCATTACCGGTGCAGCCTTCCTACAGCCGTGGGTGTGTGTTGTTATTCATATTTATTTTAGCATTTACAAATTACGATCTGCCTTGAAGGAAGGCGATTGATGAAAGTTCAGAGGCGTATCTTTCCCTCCAAACTGTTTTTAAAACATCTTCTTGGTTCTTTCGGTAAAGTCACGTAGAATGGAAATAAAATAATAAAACATAATAAAATCATAATAAAATAAAACATAATAAAATAAAAATAAAAAATAAAACATTTAAAACATTAATGGCTTCACCCGTGCACTTTAATGAGCCAGAGACCCATTCTCCAGTTAAACTCATAAATTTTTAAACAAAAAAGCTGCTCGTGTTTTGAACTGCACTTTGGCGAATACAAATGAGTGCTGTATTGGGCAGATATTCTATACCAAACATTGTTGCGCCAATTTTTATTCCGGACAAATGTTTCCATTGGGGGGAAACGACAACTTCATGACTGCCATTTAGTCCGTGATGCTGGCACAGCGCGCTCGAGTCGCAACTCCGGTACGTGTCCAAGAGTAACGCCAGTCGAGGAGATGGAGCAATGAAAGCGTCTTGTGCGTGTGTGCCGCCAGGTGGATTTATGAACATTGCAGACTCGCAGAGAGAATGTCGGTGGCTTTGGGAGACTTTCATCCAGCGATGGATTGAACATGGCTGATAATGATTGGTCCGTTGGGTCGCACGATTAATTTGGACGTTTTAGCCAAAGGCATAATTACTTATTCTTTGATTCTTTCGGTAAAGTCACGTAGGTGAAAAAATAAAATAAATTAAATCACGACGTGTCGAGTGCAACACAAGCAATCATCATCAGGTGTGACAACCACAGCAAAAAATTTTTTACTGAAGTGGAAGAGATGCCAGAGTTAGGGCAGTTAAATAATTACTTCACAATATCGTCGTGTCAATGAAAATCAGGATTTTTTTGTTGTTGCTTCTGGTGAACTGAGAAAATAAATCCGATTGTTACACCATACGACGCGTTCAAACATACAAGCATTGAACACATTCGGTGAGTAGCAACAATTCTTTAAGCGAAAACTGGGGGTTGGGGGGGGATGCACGACACAGCCAATCTTAAACAAACGTTAAACGAACGTTGAGCGCTAAACGGAATGAGTGACGATCTGCCCGTGTCTGCTGTCGTGCGTTCTGCTCTGGCTCTCTCGCCTCCTGTGAGTCAATTTTGCATCTTGTTCAGCTCCCTCAAACTACTGCCAGAGACAGACAAATATCCCCTGTATAGCCTTGGCAGACTGTAGGGGCAAGTGCTGTTTGCGAGCACCTATGAAGGCCGGCATGGCAAACAAGGGGGTAGGTGGCCAACACCAAGCCCGGTCCCCTTTATCTCCCTTGTGGTGATGTTTACTGCACCAGGTACTCATTTGAGGCTGAGTCGACCTAGGCGAGGCACATGACTTGTTAAGATAATTGTCACTGGTGTTGGCCATGAGCGGGAATCGAACTCGGGTCGCCTGGTTCATAGCGCTCCCCTCATCCGTAAATCATCACACGCAGCATGCGAGTTACACGAAGGACACCACGGCAGATGCAAACTTTGATGAAAAACCACCACTGTCGTTACATATCGTACCAACATGTTTAGACTTGACGACGTGAACTCAGAAGGGAGTGGAGGGGGCTCAGCCCCCTGGAACCCCCTACCACACCCATGGGCACGGGGCTCACGAACGGCATTGACAGGAACTCGTCTCATGAGTTATTTCCAAAGTGTCTCCTCCGAGTTCAAGCGAACACTGAGCACCGCTCATCCCTGTTGGCAAACCGCCTACACTAGCAGCAGCGCGAGTTTCACATTCCCATGACGGGAGCCGGGCTCCACATTGGACCGCCACCATTCCCCGCGAGATAAGCAGGCATTGTGGCTTTTCAAAGAGACAAATGACGCAGGAAGCCGAGCCGCTGCAGAGAACAACGCGGGAAGTAAAGAAAACATCTCGGTCACTTTCTGAGAGTCGTGATGACAACTTAGGACGGGGGACGTTGTGGAAGTAACTCCGCGGCTTGGCAAGTGAACTCAACTCGACCACCTCGTGAAATGTCAACTGGCGGATGAGCCAATCCGATGAGCACGGTTGGCTACGTACGGCGCGAAAAAAGTTCAACATACATTGATACATGGCGTGACATTTAAGAAACTGCGCTGCAGGATGAGTGCTCTCCGCGGGGCAGGGCTATCATCGTTGGTCAGAGCCGGCGCTGCGTTCATAGCGCGGGCGTCCGAAAACCTAAATTGATACACTTTGGTTCTTTCATTAAAGTCACGTAGGTACCGAAAGAACCAAAGAGTATGGATTCCTGCAGTCACGAAAGCTTCAAATCAAGCCTAAATTTAATTCAACTAAAACTGAACTAAACTATGTTTATTTTACCAGGTAAGGCCCACTGAGTCTATATCACTCTTTTTAAGAAGCAACCTGGCCACAAACGATAGCTCAACGAAGTGGCTTATCACGTGGAAATTTCTAGCAGCCAAATACTGTAAACGCGTGACGTTGATTGTAAATGTAAAAGGAAAAACCGGAGGACCCGGAGAAAAATCCACACGATCACGGGGGGAGAGACACGCAAACTCCAAATATATAGCAAGCGTCAGGGTCGGGATCGAACCCACGACCTCCTGTATATCAGGAGAGGTAGTTAACAATCTTGTTAGCGTGGCACCCCAATTAGTAAGAATTAAGGGCCGGCCAGGCCTTTGGCAAGGAAATCGATATATGGCACCAGAGCCCCCCCCGACGCCGCTTTATTTTCTCTACTGCTGGTGTTCGTTTTCGTTGTTTATTGCCCGTGTGCCGAGGGCTGGAACTTAGCTGAGTGATGCTGGGAGGAAGGATCACAGGCAGTTTTAATTTTGATCCTGAAATTAGCGACGAGAGTATTCATGAAGCAAAGCGGATTTCAATTGCAGTCAACGGCGACTACGAGTGGATTATAGTTTAGTGGCATCAGAGACTGCAGTGCACTGCGGAAGACCGCACACGGTAATTGGATATGTATGTGTACAGTAAATAAAATTGTTCACTGAGTTCAGTGGTTGGCTGATCTGATACTATCAGGAGGGGTGAGGTTGATGCCGAACGCCATTCACACAAACAATCAGAAACTATAAGAGTGTTTGACTCAACCTCTCACTTCTTTAGTCGACAGGGCCAAGAGAATGACTCAATGTCGTCGACTCGACGGAGAGACTCCCGACGAAAATAAAGAATTAAATCATTAAAAACGTTGACTCTGTGAACGCGGTACGCAGTTCCTGCCGTGACGCCGTTGCGTGCGTAGCCGTCTGCTC